ACAGAGTCAACATTTGTTAGGGAGCCTTGTCAGGTCCCTCGGGATCCGGTTTTCACTTAGCCCCCCACCCGCACCCCCTCCCTCTCCACATTCTTTCTAAAATCCTGTGTTCTGGCACTGTCCCCCAGAGGACCTCACTCTAGGACACTGGCAACAATTCTTCCTAGAATGTTCTTTCCTCTGGTCTTCTGATAGGTTAAGCTGTGCTCCTTAAACGTGCAAATAGACATCACTTCTTCCCGGAGACGTCCCCCCATCTCCATTACCTACAATCCCTTAAAACCCGATTATATTCCCATGACCTCACAGCTTCCCCCAACCTCAACCCGTAATCTCTTTATAGTATCAGGACTTGCTCTCTTCTCTGTATATCCCATTGGTCTTGTTGTGTGCACCTGGTGCATGCCTGGCATGAATTATGGAAGAAAAATAATTTTAATGATGTTTTCACTATTGAAATAATAATGAATGGAATCACGTGAGTCAAGGTATTGAAAACTAGACCATGTCCAAAGATCATCTGAAAGATAAAGGGACTGAAAAGGAGGGTAGAGACTTGATAAGGGCACGTGGTAGGAAGACCACAGCCAGAGAGAGGGTACAGCCTAGCCAATTGATGTGAAAACACGATCTCTCATCAGTGGGTCACAAAGTCTATGCAAATTGAGCAAACCTGGAAGCCGCCCTCCTAGGACCATCTGTATCACTTCTGAGGCTTTCATTTGCATGCCTTTAACACCCATTGCGGTCCAGCCAGGTCTGACTCCTGGCAGTACTGTGTTGTTACAGAGTAGAACTGAGCTCCATAGGATTTTCTTGACTCTCATCTTTTTTTTAGATTTTTCTTCTTATTTTTATAAATACATTTACTGGGTGCTCTTACAGATCTTATAAAATCCATGCAGCAATTGTGTCAAGCACATTTGTACATATGTTGCCATCATTTTCAAAACATTTTTTTCTACTTTAGCCTTTGGTATCAGCTCCTCTTTTTTTCCCTCTCTGCCCCACCCTCCTACCCTGGCGACCCCTTGATAAATTACAAATTATTATTTTCATATCTTACAGTAAAGATTTTTCTTTACTGGGTCCAAAGAGTCAAACTGAATTTGTGTCAAGAAGACAAGTTTTGATTCAAGTATAAAAAGTGAAAATTCAATGATTTCCTTATCCCTGGAAGTTTTCAAACATAGACCGATTGACCAGAGAGGTCTGAATGTTTATTTCATTCCTACATTTCATAGAAGACTGATCTTGAAGACTTCTCTGGTTCTTTTTACTTCTGAGGGTCTCTAAGACTTGCAGATCCTAGTGGGCTAGATTTCCATGCTTCCCACAAGAATGGTTTTTTTCGACATTTTTTATGTTATGGAAAATTAAAAACTTTATATAGGGTCACTGTGATTTGGATTAGACTTGAGGATAATGAATTTAGTTTGGGGTTTTTGTTTTTTACCCTTATGGAAGTAGATCACCAAGACTTTCTTCCATGACTCTGCTGGGTGGGTTCAAATCACCAATCTTCTTGGTTCCAAACCATTTGTGCAATCCAGAGACCCCCAAACTGCCTTAAAGCAACAAGAAAACGTATAGGCGCACAGATTTTTCAATGACAGAGATCAGGAGGTGGGGATAGGCTTCAGGTTCTGTTGATTCAGCAACTTCAAGAGCCCCTTCTGTCTCTATGCTCTGCCATCCATGTCCTCACTCCCCTGTGAAGGGTGGCTGCCTACGAAAACTGTGTCTGTAGCTCTGTATTCCATCAAGAACAGGATGTGCGTGGGGGATTTACTTTGCTTGGTCTGTGGCAAGGAAATGGAACGTGCTCATTGATGTACATCAGTCAGAGCCCACCCCGGGACAAGATCCGCATCTCCAAAGTACCTGGACCATGTAGAAGAAGAACAGGTGAATGAGAGAGGAGAGTCACGGATGAGTCAAGGTCTGGGAGGAGAACAGCTGGAAGGATGGAGTTGCCATTGGCTAAGAGGGAGAATGTGTTGGGTGGAACAAGGTTGAGGAGGAAGGGAAGAAGATCGGTGTTAGTCATGTCAAATAGGAGACGTTCGTTAGAAAGACAACTGATGACATCAAGTACGCAGCTGGACATATGAATATGTTGTTGGAGGTAAAGGTTTAAGGTGGATAGATAAACTTTGGAGGCATAAGTGCATAGATAGCATTTTCTCTACAAAAAGATTACCACATAAAGGTCAACAGACAGACCTGGAACTATTTATAGGCTTTTCTTTTTGTTTTTGTTTTTCATGTCTATCTACATATCAAGCCAACAAACCCAGGGACAAGAGAACAACAAGTGATCTAAAATCGATGGTGAAGAGGGC